CCTTGTTTTCACATTTGCTTTCCACTTGCGTCTGACGACGACCTGGGGAACCAGCGTCGAAAATTTACGCAATAAACCCTCTTGTCCCAAAGAACCTACCTCTTTTCAACTTATATCGCTTGGGATGCCCACCTTTCAATACTTACGCATATATATATATATATATATATATATATATATATATATGTAAGAAGAAGAGGCGATCTCGGGAACCATAGTTATATTGCCCTGACGTTTCAAAATCCAACAAGATTTCATCGTCGGAGGTGAGTTTTGTACCACGCCTCACAGTATTTATAGGCGGTGACGATCTTGTTACAACGGGTTTGCGTCTATTCGGGAGCTGTCGTTTGGACGCTAGCTGTCATCGCACGTGTTTGCATTGACCTTAGCTCTCGTCCTAGGCTGGCAATCTTCTTTGTCACCCTGCAGTCACTTGTGTTCTCACCTGCCGCATGAGTGGCAGCGATGATAGCACCTTCATCGGGTCCCTTGGCGTTACTGCGATCGTTCGTCCTCACACCTGCCAGATAAGTGGACGACCCGGCTGTAGTGACGATCGCACCTTCGTCAGATTCAGGTTGAAGTACAGCTGCGCGTGTGGCCCCCATGGACTCGGCCGTACTTGGGTTTCTGTCTTGTCGCAGCCTGACTCTGCTCTTCTGTTCACTAAGCTGCGTCCGGAGGGCTTGGTAAGCCTCAGGAAGCGCTACGCTGCGGTTGATGGAGTTCGCGCCAGTGTGCCAGGCCTCGATTGTTTCCCTCGTGATGCGGTCATTTCCCCGGCCCAGGATTTCAGCATTCTGGAAGGCGAACGTGTGTCCAGAGTTTGCGCAGTGTTCTGCCACTAGAGACAACGGGTCCATCCGCCTAACTGCCCTCATGTGCTCTGCAACACGGGTGTGCAGTCTTTTGCCGGTCTCTCCAATATAGTTCATATCACAGGAACTGCACTGGATCCGATAAATGACGTTCGTTGTTTCGCCGCGTGGCAGGGGGGTCTTAGGTCTCATGACCAGATTTCGAATTGTTGACTCTGGCCGATGGGCAATGCCAATCCCCAGTGGTCTTAGCAGACGGGAGACCGCCTCAGAGACGCCGTCAATGTAAGGAAGCGCCCGCCAGATTTTTGGCCGTTCTGTCACCGAGCTTCGGCCTGGACCAGGCTGCCTGTTGCGTTCTATGAAGTTACGAGGATAGCCGTTCGCCATGAAGAGGCGTTGGAGGTTGCGTAATTCTAACCTTTTGTCGTCTGGCTCGCTGCAGTGTGTTTCTGCCCTTTTGTACAGTGTTCGTACACAGCTGCGTTTGTGGGATAACGGGTGCTTGCTGTGGTAGCTGAGGATTTGGCCTGTATTGGTGGCTTTCCTATACACCGTTGTTTTTAGGTGGCCACTTGGTTTCCGATGAAGCAGTACGTCCAGGAACGGCAGTTGTTTATTGCTTTCCGCCTCCATTGTGAACTGGATATCAGGGGAGACAGAATTCAGGGCATTGTGAAATTCTTGAACCATCTCCCGCTTGATGATGACAAAGGTATCATCGACATACCGAGCCCAAAATGTTGGCCTGTAGATCTCAAAAACTGCGGTCTCCACTTTTTGTAGAACTGCTTCTGCTATGAAGCCCGAAAGCGGGGATCCCATCGGTGTCCCCTTGATCTGTTCATATACTCTCCCTTCGAACGTAAAGAACGTCTTCCGGCAGAACTTTAACAGTTGAATGAGATGTCTCCGTCTCACGCTTTCGCCCGTCTCGTCGTACTTTCTTTCGAGCAGTTCGCCAACCGTTTCGACTGCTAGCCATTGCGGGATCGAAGTGAAGAGAGAGGTGACGTCGAATGACACCATGACCTCATCTTCGTTTAGCCGCATCCCTTTGAGCCGCTCCAGGAACTGAGCCGCTGAACAGACGGTCGTGGTCGAGTCCGAGGTGAGAGACCTCATGCTGCGGAATAGCCACTTTGCCAGATTATATGTTGGTGCACCGCGCAACGAAACAATTGGTCGGAGGGGGAGACCGGCTTTGTGTACCTTCGGTAGTCCATAAAATCGTGGTGGGGCAGCATCTGTTGGCTTAATGGCCAGCCGTACCGACTTACTTATTGCTTTGTTTGATTGCATGTCGGCGAGCGTCTTGTCCAGTTGAGTCACCAGTTTCTTTATCGATTCTTCACCACATGGGAGGTATGCCTGTCGGTCCTCCAGTAGAGCGTTCGCCTTCTGAACGTAGTCTGTCTTATCCAGCACGACTGTCGAACGTCCTTTGTCTGCCGGCAGTATTACAATGCTAGTATGTATACGTATATGAGAGACATTTTCATCATGTCCCCGACAATGGTATTAGCTACAAGTCCAAATACGTGTTCCGCCTATGTTTCCGCCATCGAATGGCGTGACTGCAATCGAATTCGGCTCGTCACTTAGTTCCCCAACGTTCCCTATGCTAGCTTCTGGTATATGAACTACAGATAAATATCAGGTTAATAATTCCAGCAATTATTTTTTGCCAGACACGGAGTCAATCGCCCGAGACATATCTTTTGGGGTCAGCCCCAATGACATTCGTGCTGAAGACAATCTGTGGCGATCAGAATTATTAACTGGATTAAACCCCAAAGGCAGGACAGGACGCGCCAGTCCCGTTACCCGATCGACGGACGCAATTCCGAGATACATATATGTGTTGAAGGACAGGCATCCCAAGCAATATAATTTGAAGGCAAACACGTTCTTTGGAAAGAATAGAAAACGTTATTAGGTAAATTTTCGAGGCTGGTTCCGCAGGTCATCGTCCAACTTAAGTAAATAGGCAAAAAAAACAATTAACATTTCAAACGCGCTGAGAAATAAATATTCATTTGATGCTTCAGCCAGTTAGCGGCCGCCGTATGCGTCAGTCTGTATCGATTGGCTTTCCTCTCTTCCACTTTTCCCTGAGAGTTTTATACATGGCATCTAACTCAATGTGCCGATTTATGCATGACTCATCGGAGTGCATGGCTTCAAGAAACTCTCAGCCTTTTTTTAGAGGGCAAACCCCGACGATGCGAGCTTTGTCCCATGCGAAGGTGTGCCCTCTATCAAGGGTGTGCATGACTATTTGATACAGGTGGTCTCGCTTATTAACTGCCAGTTGATGTTCATGGGCGTGTGTAGAGGCAGATTTACCCGTTTGGCCACAATATACGGACTTCCAGCCATCGCATGGAATCTTATAGACTACTTCCTTTTTGTCGAGATAGCTCACCCAATCCTTAGGGTGTACAGGCTTAATGCGTAAATTAGTCGTAAGCTTGTTCGCCACCTTTATTTGGTGTTTCCTCAAGTGTTTTTCAACAAGTTCAGACACACTGCTGATGTAGGAAAGGATTTGCGAAGTACTTACTTTGGGCACTCTGTTGGAACTATCTGGTTTCTTTGCTTTTATAACTTGCTGTTTCATACATCGACGCACGAAATTCCTAGGGCAATCATTCTGTGAAAATTATTAAAGCAGGTAGTTTAGCTCAACTTGGTAGCTTTTTTTCACCAGAGCAATGTGTTTTTGCTCGCTGTAGCAGACTTTTGACAGTGCTCAGCTTGTGAGAATTGTGAGTTGTTGCTCTCACAGTGTATAATTACTTCTGCATATGTTTCTTTGCGGCAAACGGACGTGTGTAATGTTCCGTCGGTCTTTCACTGTACGAGAACATCCAGAAATGGGAGTTTACTGTCGGCTTATTTTTCGAGCGCGAATGTTATTCCGCAAGGATGGTTGAGTTGATGGTGTTGTGGAGCGTTTCCAGGCGATTCTTTTTAACGACAACAAATATGTCGTCTACATATCGCACCCACAACTTACGGCTAACTAATGGAAGAGCTGCCGATTCCAGTTTCTGCATTGTCACTTCAGCAAGAAAGCCAGATATAGGTGATCCCATTGGGGCTCATTTTAGTTGATAATATTGGTGGTTGAACGAAGATTAGTTTCTAAACAAAGGCCTATGTCTCCGAGTAAGGTAGTTGCGGGAACATCCGCATCATAGTATTTTAGGAGTTCATCTGTACACTGCCTCAGGAAATCTAGTGATATGGATGTGAATAAAGAAACGACATCAAAAGAAGTCATTACCTCATTTGCAGAAATTGGTATTCTTCTCAATTTATGTAGAAACTCTATGGAGTTCTGAATGGAAGTTTCACAATCTCTCGTTAGTGAGTGGAGTTGGTGGGACAGCCACTTAGAAATTTTTTTATTAAGTGCATCGATTAATAGTGGTCGCAATGGTACTTCGGGTTTGTGGACTTTGGGCAGTCCGTAGGTCTTCGCGATGGTTGGTTCGGATTGTGTCAGGGAGTTTCCGATATCTCCTGACGGTTTCTTCGTTCCTGTGAAGTGCTTCATTCGATTCGAAGACTCTATGCGATGGATGCCATGCGTATACTGGGGCCAAGCGGGAGAATCCGTCTCTACACGCATCCACGATCACCGACTGCCACTCAGAGGCAAGAGCAACTGTCTTAAGAGGCCATGTATGCCCTAGCCACCGCCCACGCCGCTGGGGTCAAAATTCGCACTATCGGCGTTTCTACTACCAAAAAACAGTTTCGCGAAACCATGCATTTAATGAGTTATGCAACAATCGCATATCGAGTTATAAACTGCGTGCAAAAATCCCAGGAAAATGGAGTACACGAGAACTAATTGATAAACAATGCCGCACACATTGGGCGCTTGCTAACGCAAACACAAACAACTATCGACTTTTTAACCCGTTCGAGATATTAACTGTTTATCTGCACATTTGCCCAAGGCCTGACGATGACCTGGGGAAACAATGTCGAAAATTTACCCGGTAACTTTCTTGCTTTTTTCCAACGGACATAATTGATTTTACATACAAAAACAAATGTATGCACACGCATATATATATGTATGATAAAGAGAGGGCTCTTCGGAAAATCGAGTTGTGCTCGTAAATTTTCAAGTCGGTGACACCGACCCGTCGTCAGACGAATGAACAGAGGAGAAAGTGAACTCGCAGGCGAGGTCGGCTGGCGCGACAGTACAGACAACGACAAACAGACAGCTGATGCGTGAATGGGGTTGGCACCGAGTTATGGTAAGCTTTGGGGCAGGGGGAGGGAAGGGAGGACCGTTAGGGTTCCGTGTGTTGGAGGTGGAGAAAAGGCGGAGGGATTGTGGATTAGTGGGAATGCCGGCGGCTAGTCACTGAAAAATTTTCGAGTACAACTCGATTTTCCGAAGAGCCTTCTCTTTTCCATCATATCAGCTCGGAACGTACATCACATTAGTTACTCATATATATGTGTGTATATATGTGTGTATAGGGAAATAATTCCGGCTCTTCGAAAAAAATCTTATTGTGAATCTTCGAATTTGGCATCCTAGCTCATCGTCAGACGCATGAGTAATATAGAGAAGGCAGTTAACGTTAAACCAAGTTTGACAAAGGTTTCTGTGGTTGTTTAAAGTTTATGCCAGTGGGTGTCCGCTATATCCGGTTACCTAGTGGGTTATTTGCTGTGCTGACTCGCATATGACCTTGGGAAATTTGTATGTAACGTCGAAGTCGATATGCCCATTGACGCATGTCTCGACTGAGTATATTGCTTCCAAGAAGTCACGACCCTTTCTTGTTGGGCTGGCTCTAAAATTGCGCGTTTTTATCCATTCGAATATGTGTCCTGATTCCAGTGTACGTATGGCTACCTGGAATAAATGGTCTTGTCTCTTAACCGCCAACTGGTGTTCATGTTCGCAGACGGAGAGATTTCCCCGTTTGACCGCCAGCTCCTGGAAGCAATGTGCTCAGACAAGGCGTTCATCAACAGGTATATCGTGTTAGATATCACACACGAATTTCTCAAGGTAAAGTGGAGACCAGCACAGCCAATACCCATCGGGACACCCAGCGGCATAAACAGTAGTCAGCTGCGGACTTTTTCGTTAGGTATGGTGTGCAGTTAGCTGTTTTTTTGTACATCACCTATTAGTCTGACGACGAGCTGGGGTACCAGATTCGAAAACTCACCAATAGTTATTTTGTTCTTAAAGAACCCGAACTATTTCTTATTACATTTTGAGGTGCCCATTTTTCAAAACATATGTGTATAGGTGCTTATACTCTATAAACGATGGAAATGTTTTTTGCACCAAACACCGTATACAGACGGCAACGCATCACGTAATATTTCCTTCTGGCTTAGATTTCATGGAAGACGATTATCCCATTCTGATTGGAGGAAATCCAAAGGGCATGCTCCAGGGGAGGACTATACGCTTCCCGAAGGATGTCTACGCACACTTCAGAGGACAACATCGGCCTCACATGCAGCCAGTTACAGTTCCAATGATACTTGGGGAAATTCACAACAACATCAAAGGATATATAAATGCATTCAAACTGTGGAGTTTCCTACGTTCTGATCAAGCCGGTACTGAGTCTGTCCGCCCGATGAAACGTTTGCATCAGTCCGAGGTTAATACTCATTCAATGTATTTAAAATTAGTTCAAACCTCCCCCCCCCCTTCGACTCATCGACCAAAATTTCCTGGAGTGTATATTTTTAAAAACTGCGGAATTAGGGGATTAAAATCTGCCGAATCTTCGGAGTTTACCAGGTTTGCCCAGTGTGACTGCTTTCAAGCATTATAGAAGGACGCTCAGAAACTGTTAAACGGATGCTGAAATGCATCCGGAACTCAGTTCAGTTTTGTGGCCATAATTGCGACTGTATTCGTACGAGAATAGGATGTTAAAATCCATTTGCTGTTTCTCAAGATATGCGGGCCTAATTAATCGGTTTTTTGACTCTGCCAAATTCTGATCAATCAGAATTTGACTTAAGATCTGCTCTGACTGAAATGAGGGGATTTTCGTCCATAAAAGTTGACGGTCTGCTCCTTGTTTTTTAAGGATCCAGATCAATCGTCGCCTAAGACGGACAGGAAGACACTGACGACCTCGTCACTGTCGAAGCGTAGGAAGCAAGTAACGTGTGTTCTTGCCAAACAAAAGTTGGGCGTAGAACGTATCAATGCACTGAAGAAGTCGGTGGATGAGTTTCGCGATACGCAGTCAGAGCCCTACTTCAGTATGTCATTTTACGACGAAGATGGTCACGATTGGGAGCTAGACAGTCTAGAATCTTGGTAAGTTCAAGCCTTTTTGCTGAACAAAGGCTTATCTATCTGAGGAAAATGTCGGGCCATATTTTGGTAGCTGAATCCCTATCAAGTTTAATCTGATTCTTACTGTCCCCCTTTGGCTTGTTATGTAAACTTGTTTTCGATTTTATTTTTGTGCTTATTTTGTTCTATGGTCGGGGTTTGGACTGGCAAAATTCAACTATCATAATTCGCTTGGTGCAGTGGGGAGGGTTTCTCCTCTAGAAGCCCAAGTCAGTTTAAAAACATAACCCGACGGGTCTTTAATAAAAAATTATTATTATTAACATTGTCATCAAGGTTTTGAATCGCTGTGCGTTCCCTTGATGATGGACCACTAATCTCGAACACATTTACGATCGTCCAAGCTCTTTTCTTCATGCCAGTGGACGTCACAATTGGAATGGGGGGGGCTTTTAATTTTGAACATATTTTTTGTTCATATCAAGGTATGCTAAGTCTGCAAATTAAAATAGTACGAAGTGGCAGACTAGCGAACCTGGATTTTACGCGTCTTGGCCACCGCTGCACAATTAAGCATGGACTCTCGCACAAATTTGTGTGGTCTAAATCGATCAGATCTAATGTCCGGATTTCGTAGTCCGCGGAATGCACTCTCCGACTGAAAAACACAGACCAAACGGTCGTACAGTGTATTTTATGGCTCAACGTAGTACGATTACGCTAGAACTCACTCGTAATTTTTATAGCTATTGGTAGGGTTCGGCTTGAAAATATATTATTTTTTGACTCGGTGGTTGAACCGCGCATTAAAAATATCCGATAAACAAATCCCAAGGTTTTCTCCATCCTCAAGGCCAACAATATCACTCTCCCTTGACCTTGTCACAGTGACGGAATTGTAAAAACTTCCTTCACTATGACCCAGCCAGCTTGGGCGTTTGAAAACGGGCTTAATAGGGGCAGTCACGCAGTCGTCATCTGAACTGCGATTGGTGTGCACAGTCGCAAAAGCCGACTTTTGGATTGACCAATCAAGAAGCCCGAAGCAGCCTCGGCGAGCTCAGCCCCGCGCTTGGGCAGGAGACGGGGATGCGGACGTGCGTGAAGCCCGCGTAGTGAGTGGTCCATTTGCGGCAGCCCTGTTTCAACACAGACGCCGGCAGAAATTCATGGACAAATGTGAACAACACATCGGCGACGATAACGCCGGTGTCATCTGAACTGCGAAGGCGGTTTTAGTGTTTAACTGTTGCCCTGTACGATTATTTCGACAATTCGGACATCCTGTCCAAAAATGAAAGAATGCGGGCGACTGGCGCAATAATGCGTTGTCTGCAATATATTCTGCTATACTGACACTTAGGCCGGTTGACCCAATCAGAGTTACGCACTTACAAATCGAATCACCACTGGTTTCTGTATGAGAAATTAGCTAAGTGTTAGTTTTACGGGCAGTATACGGATTACCAGAAGCCATCTCATAGGCTTCCTGCAGAATTCTTGTATTTAACAGACGTAACAGAGGCATTTTTGTTGAGGAACCTTCCATAAACAGTTTCCCGCTCTTAAAACCAAGTATCGGTAAGGTGTGGTTATGTAGCCCCACCTGATGGGCACGGTACTGTTGGGGTTGTGGTTAGGAGTTAGGGTTATGGTTAGGGGTTAGGGCTAGGACAACTATTTCCCAACCACTCTAAGTACAACCGCGCATTCCTAAGAGCTTTTCTTTTGCATACAACTGTTTGACGATCCCATTTATAGAAACCCTATTACCACCGGTCCCGTATTACAGGTGACTGGGGTTTGTTTACTTCAGGTGGGGCTACATAGCCACATCTGACCCAATTATCTATGTCTACAGTATTCTTGCTTTTTGGCAGGGTGCATTGCTGTCATTTAAAGCGTAAACTGCTGGCTGCGTCTTCTTTAGACGCAGGCTACTTTTAATCTGGCGACTATTTTGAAATTATTCTTACACTAGGAGTTTATGCTGATCAGAGACTGACATTTCTGAGCATTCTATCGATAGTGTTGAGAGCATTAGGGGCCCAAAAGACTTATTGGTCCTTTAAAATCGCCCAGGCAAAACTTTTTGATTTCAAAGTTTCGATAACATAGTATGCACTTGTCTGAGGCACGGATAATGGTCGAACCCTTCAGAAGTGAACTTCGCTTTTAATAAACACCCCATAATTTATATATACTGCTAGTCGATAATTTGAACCATGAGCGACAATCATTCATATACGAGGTGCCCGTTTAGTGAAGTCGAAAGCAATTGCCGCTAGCTGCTATAATGCACAGGATTGCTTTATATTCGAACTTCCGCAGGTGATGACGTGGAATACTGAAAACCCCGCCTTTTATCCCACAGACATAAGGTGAATAGTGTATTCTGAGTTCTTAGCTCGGATATAGAGAGGCACTGATTGTCGCTCAAATTTTTAAGCATGTTACTTGATAAAATTACTTAGAAACATACTCTGCATTAGCCAAGGACATTTTCCGGAAGCGGAAAGACGAATGCATGAACTGCACAGTATTTTAGGTACCCCAGAATGGCCGTCTAGATTTTTGTCCTCAGGTTTCATGAGTCGCGGTCCTTGCAGTACTTTTTCGTCTTTTTCTTGCAGGAATATTAAAACTCGCCCAGTATTACGCACTCAGCGTGATGCTTCCACAAAGACCAGCCGTCCCGCTGCCCCGACATCACGATCATTAGGAGGGCTTTCTAACCGACGAGGGGAGGATGGAGTTGAAGAGGGCCCAGTTGTCCATTTAGCGCTGCGTTCGGTCTTTTCGGCACCGGAAGCAGTCAGGCTGCGTTATCTTTCTCGACCGTAAGTACTTAACAGTAGCATTTCATTTTGTCCGGACAACCTTTGCTTGACATTTAACTGAAACTATCTGGATAAGAATAGAGAGGAGACTGTCCACCAGTGCGACACACCCGTGGTAGAGTTTTGGACTTAATGCTCAATAACAAGAGTCAAAGTTCGAATTACAGGTTATCCGGACCTGAGGTCGGGCATGGATGAATGATGACAGTTAATTGGCCAGAAATGGCCATCTCAATCCCCCTCACCTCTTTCGATATTTCTTCCGCATGCATATATATATGTGTAGACCGGAGGTGGTATGCATCCCGAGCCGATATAATGAAAAAAGGAAGAGGTTCTGCGGCAAAATCGAGTTGTACTCGTGAATTTTCGAGCTGGTGACACCAACCCGTCGTCAGATGACATGAGAACAAGGCAGAAAGTTAGTATGTCACACTAGACTAATTAGCGCAACAGGACAGACGGACTATTGACCTATGAGAGGAATGGTCACAGAGTCATGGTAGGTCTCTGAGCGAGGGGGAGGGAGGAGGAAGCGGAACAATTACGGAGGGAGAGAGAATGTGGCTGTTGGAGCAAATGGACTCCGGGTGGCTGGATTAGCGGCCGTTGACGTAGCATTAGGGCGGGTGGCAGTAAGTCGTGAGCGTAGGCCCTCCTAATGGGCGTCCAGGTCAACATGGCGGTTGATACTACTAGCATTGGAGTACCAAGCCTCGAGAAATTCTCTCGCTAGCGGCCGCCCGCGGGGAGACCAAAGCTAATCCCCAGTCAGAAGGCAGGTCAGAGTTCGTGCGTCAGGCATGCCTATAACACAAGACAGGCGACGAGACAGAACAACTCCGGATCGGCAGGAACAGACACCCCACCACCCTGATGATGAAAACGAGGAAGTTTCCGAAACAACAGCACTAACACCGTGTGGTCCATACAACCGCCCATTTTTTCTTTATCGTCTTCTTTTGGAGATGATGAACAGAGTATATTTCTATATATTTCGAAGATAAATGAGCCCTTTGGGAGACTGAACAAACTTTATTTCGTGCTTTTTCTACTCTGGTTCCTCAGGTCGTCGTCAGGCGTGTAGAAAGCGTGAAAAACAGTGAAAATTTAAACATGCCCGAAAAATCGATATTGCTTTGTCAGTGCTGAGGATGGGTCGATGGTGCGGACTAATGTCACGTTTCTATTTTTCTCTGATATTTGTGTACATGGCGTCCAGATCTATGCGACGATCGATGCATGAATCATCCAAGTGAATGGCCTCTTGAAATTCTCAGCCTTTCTTATATGGGCGGGAATCGACAACGCGTGTTTTATCCCATGCAAATTCGTGCCATTTTCTAGAGTATGCATGGCGACTTGGGATAAGTGGTCTTGCCTCTTTATTGACACGTCGAAAATTTACGAAATAAAGTTTGTTCAATTTCCCAAAGGACTCATTTTTCTTCGAATTATGTTTCTTGAGATGCCTATCTTCCACTATATATTTATACATATATGCATAGGTAGATGTTGTAAGCTAGGCATCTCAAAAAATATAAGTCGAAGTCGAATATGTGCTTTAAGAAAAGGAAGCTTATATATATATAGACAGAATGGTTTTGCCGACAAAGACATGGGAGGATGTAATGGCCATTTCTGGCTTATTAACCGTCGTCAGCCAGTCAAACCCAACCCGAAGTGTGGAACACCTGGAGCACGAACTCGCGACCTGCCAGTTAGAAGTCCAACGCCTCTAACCACTGGGTCATGGGCCCGTTGTCCTGTCGGCTTCGATCGGGAATATACAATGGTAGAGGGGCATTCACCGATCATTGTCTTTGCCAGCAATAACATTCTGCCTACATCATGCGCTGCTGTGCGGCTGCTGGTTGGGCTTGAGAGAGAGCCCGTAAGGCACAACGGAACGAGTGAGTTCCGAAAGAACCATCGGTGAGCGCCCCTCTGCCATTGTATATTCTCGATCGAAGCCAACATGACAACGGGCCCATGACCCAGTGAATGCCCTCGTATGCCGAAAACCTGATGTGTCCCTTCACACTTCAGTTTATCGCAAAGAAACATACTCCGAGTTCATTCTACATTTTGAGAGTAACCATCCCATCTCTCACAAGAGGAGTACTATCTACAGTCTACTAAACCGAGCTAAAACACTCTGCTCTGATGAAGAAAGTTATCAAGTAGAAATGAAATACCTTTTCAAATTACTTTCCCACAACGGGTACCCGCGCCACTTTGTACGTCATTGCATGAAACATGAGTTTAAACAGAAAGGTATTTCGAAAACAATGGCCACCCAGGCACCAAAAACATTCACCTAGCGGACCCTACCATACGTGAAAAATGTATTTGAACTCGTCAAAACACAGTTGAAAAGGCATCAGATACAAGTAGCACACCAACCAACAACCACCTTGCGTACACAGGTTGTACACCCTAAGGACAGGGTTGGCTATCTTGATAGAAAAAGCGTTGCCTACAAAATAACCATGTTCCAGTTGTGATGCCGTCTATTGTTGCCAAACTGGGAAATCTGCCTCTACCCGCATACATGAGCATTACTTAGCGGTGAGGAGACGAGATCATCTATCCCAGGTGGCTATGCACACACTGGACATTGGACATAAATTTGCCTGTGAGAACACCCGCATTGTTGGCGCCTGCCCAATAAGGAAAGACCGCGAATTCCAGGAGGCAATGCACTCAGATGAGACATGCATCAATCGGCTTATCGAGTTAGATGCCACATACAAATTTCTCAAGGACAAATGGAAGCGATCGCAACCAATGCCGAGGGGATGACGAAAATCATTGACGCGCATTGGCGCAGGCTTAGACCAACCATAGATTCACTTGTTCGACATGGTTAAATAGTTAACTGGTTTTGTACATAGCCCCAAAGTCTGACTACGAGCTGGGGAACCAGTCTCGAAAATTTACGCATTAAATTTTATTCTCTTCCCAAATAATCCTACTTATTTTCAATATATTTACATATATATACATCCTGACCTAGCCGGTCAACACCGAGCTAGGTAGGCGAGCAGTCTTTCAACACGGACACACATATGTATATGTTAGTATTACCGTGGCGTCAACGCCGACTGTTCTCGACTGGCTCTATGTGCTTCTAAGTCAAAATTCAGAGGTAGAAGTTAGGAGGCCGTGAGTTATTGTAACTGATAGCGAGGGCTAGCAGAAGTCTGGGTCTCCGAACAGCCTGAGGTCATGCAGGAGTGGCACATGTTAAAAGACTTACGCCACCCCACTCGGTACGTCCAATCCCACCTTCAGTCGAACCGACTCGGACTTATCAGTGTTGAGTGACGGGAGGTAAGACAAAACTGTGTAATTTGATCCGATTTTTAGTTTTCTAAGTAAAAACGGCCGCGCTTCGAACTCTTTTGACTAACTAACTCGGTCCTCCTTCAGGCTGAGGGTTAGGCTGAAAAAGCTCCTCCTTGACACCACCTCTTTGGAGACCCTCTGAAAGTAGAGATCCGAGACGCTCCGATTTAAGACTGCTTTTTGGTTATCTAGGCAAGAAGGCGTGTGTGTGTGTGTGTGACCCATGTGTGACCCTTAGGCCTCATCGCCCACGTCATTATTGTGCAATCCCAGTCTTCTTGAATTTTTATCGTCATTGCAACATGACAACTATGAGAACAGAGAATGCGGTGGATTATGCGCTGGTCCCTTGAGACAGTGGCGGATGCTGGCGCAGAGTTACAGACAGACTTGCTTTATCTAGGACGACTTTGAATGGTCTAAAGAGGATAGGAAACTTATTAAGGGCACAATAAGTTCGTTTCGTCTAATGTCAGAAGTCAGGAAACGGTGAGGACTAGTTAATTTCTATACACAGGGCAGGTTGCCGTAAGTTGGCTGTTTGCTTGCAGCAGTTATAAGCGTCCGTTCACGGAGAGTGTCAGTCGCGGTGTGAGTTTGTGCAGCTACAATCGTCAGGTCAGATCCCAAGTTGAAGGGAAAAGACAGAAGGCACCAGGTGGAGGGGTTTATTTTGCACAGAAACCGGAGTTATCCTTTCGGGCGGCAGTGGCCACTGGCGAGACCAGGGCTGGTGTTGACTGCGTCCAGTCATGCCTGAGAGACCTTGACATAGTGATGGCAACCGCTTTTGTAGGCTCGTGGGCCAAGCTCAAGTGGTGGGCAGTCAGTGTGTGTTGCATTTGCCGAGGGATGGTGTCCTAGTGGCCTAGGTTGTGGTTGCAGAGGGGGGAGGTGCGTCCATGTGGCCGCATAGGCAGCTGCGGCTGTGCGGACGTAGGTATGCCTGAGCTGTCAGTCGTGTGACTTCAGGTCAGCGCGTCTGGAACGGCTCACTACAAAAGGGTGAATGGCCTTGAGACAGCGAGGTCTTGAATAATGACGCCAGACCGGTCATGATGGCTTGCCACTACAGCTCCCCGCCAGACACAGGACGAAGTGATGGTGTCGATCTTGAGGCAGCGAGGTCTTAAACAATGACGCCAGACCGGTCACGATGGCTGTCCACTACAGAAGTCCGCGGGAAAATGTGTGTTACAGTCGAGAAATTGTCCCGATCCATCAGGCCAGGCCCGAAGATACTATCCCACCGGCAGTGTGCGGCTAGTGCCTATGCTACTTGCAAAATGCCTCTGCGGCCTCGTTTCCATAGCGCATGAAAGGGCGTCTTATAGTCATGTGCAAAATTTGGTTGCATTGACGTTGCCATCGGCCTAGGCAGGGCACGGAATTATGGACCCCCACAGTACAGGCGGTGTTGCGCTAAATTCCAGGGGTTGAGATACCGGAGTAGGACCCCCTGGATCCTTATTTCCCTGTCCGGTACAGACGTGGTCTCATGTGATTTCCATCTTCGGGGTTCAAAACGTCTTTAAGGGGACTAGATTTACAATGATAACCCGAGGCGTTTATGAACAGCCGCCTGTCGAAAAGATAATGGGTATAAGAAACACGCTCGGAGGAAAATTGGGCAAGATCCCATTTCGTAGCCGTGCCTGTTAGGGGTTTGTGGTTGTGGTTGTGGTAAGGTTGGGGATTGGGGTTAGGATTAGGGGTTGGGGGTTCGGGTTAAGGATTAGGCTGGGCCTTGTCTACTGCAGGTACGGCTACGAAATGCGATCCGGCCGAAAATTACTTTGGGATGTAGTCTTAGAGCTGAGTTGAGGGATGTTGCCTAAATCGATACACCGACCCAGGTGTAGACAAACCCCAGATTTGAGCACATGTCCGCGTGAGTCGCTGAGCTTCATAAGTTCGACGTTCTCTTGCTTCAATTATCGGCAATTGAAGATACAAAGGTAAGTTTTTGATCGAACTTCAGAGGGAGCACTTTGATTTCGAGGGATTGCATTTTTTCGCGAATGTCTTCAACATAGTTGCCCGAACTCACCCTCGGGAAAAAATCAGCCCTCTTGAAGTTCGTCTTAAAAAGTGGAATTTGAAGACTTGTGCGACGCCCATTCAAATAGCCCTATCGCCGAATATAAGTTGTTCGGAAACGGTTACAAAAAAATACTAGTTGTCGAGAGTATCGCAAATGATGTTTGGATGTTATGAAAAAAACCTGAAAAGTCTCCTGAGGAGGCATGCGTACAACGTATGCGTAAATGTAGGTCATTATTTAAGGCTTGCGGATATTTACCGCGTCTAAAGAAATTCACACTGTACGGCCGAAGTAACACACATTTCGAGTTGATACCAATAAAGTGGGGGAGATCCTTCCAAAGAATTGACGTGTTCTGGTGAATTCCCATCTTTCCGCGAACAAACCTTTGGCGGATGAAATTAACATAGTTGATGACGATGGGGTACTACAGGTTAGGGATCAGCAAGACTACAAAAACACTGTGCATGGTGCGGGATGGTGTACGTCGGTAGGAAGAGAGGTGCTATTTGGTAGTTATGCAGGGAGGTAGGCGGCTGAAGACTGACGGTATGGGTATATAGGGCCAGTGTGACGTGCTCACAAGCCCTTGTCGCGTGCGCCAAGGTCACCATGAAGTTCGGCACTGCCCGTGTCGACGCGCCTTGTCTCACAACATTCTCGCGACTGCCTCCTATTGGTCGTGACGACGACTGCGATGGCTTCCCATTCTTAGCCGTGATTGCATTCAAGTTCACGCATGCGAGAACCGGACAGAAGCGGTCACGCAGAGAGAGCCCCACTTTGTGCTCATTAATATGGGTCCCGAAATTCGGCAATCCAACCTACTGTTTTAGTTTGCCTGGACGGCTTTTAGGAATTAGGGAACGGAATTCGGTTTTACCGACGATCTCCTTTCTTGCCGTCAATCTCAGCTTCAAATTTATGCTACCACAATTCTACGACAGGTTCTTGGTCATCCAGCGTTTCTCCTCATCAGAGTTTGGGCAAAATGATCGACCAGAAATCTTCCCCCTGCCTCTCTGATGAGCGTGATGTCTCAGCCAAATCTCTGCGTTTCGCTTCTGCCTTACTGGCTGATACCACTATAATGCTCACATGAGAATATAAGTATTGCGTTTTTATACCCATGAACTTTCACGTTTACAATGGCCTGCGCTTGGAAAGAGTCTGCTTCATTCCAGTCAGAGGATACAAGCGGAGGTGTTCTCAAGGAATAATGCAGACTTGGACAACTTCAAGCTTTTCGCAACCATGCCGACCAGACAAGCACGGTCAGGGGATTTGTTGACCATCTAAGGGGGAGGCGCATATGTGCAACAATAAGTTTCTTTCCCAGAGAAATCCAATCCAACCAGACCAAATCTGCCTCCATTATTTTTCTTGATAGAGACGAATCTATCTTACTGGCATCCGTCCTTCATGAATATATCCGCCGATATAGGCAGTTGAGCTACTCGGTTTTATCGACAAAAGAAGAATAGGAGGGAGATTTGCACCTTCGGACAGGGTGGCTCAAACTTCCTCGTACACATGACCGCCTATATCCGGCAGTCAACTTAGATCTCCAATGGCATGGAAGTCTGCACTCGACTCGTCGTCGGACTAACAAAGGAACAGACCGCAGTTGCCAATAAAATGGTGCCAACACTCGTTCGTCAACAACCCAAGGTGTATGACTTTCAAGAAATCTCTGTAAGATCTTATCTCGTAGCCGCACCTGTTAGGGTTAGAGGTTAGGGGCTAGGGCTAGGGTCAGGGGTTAGGGGTCAGATCTAGGGGTCACGATTAGGGGTTGGGGCTGGGGTTACAGATTAGTGTCAAACCCCCTCTTGCCACCCGTCCCGTATGACAGGCGGTCGGGGCTTTTCTACTGCAAGTGCGGCTACGAAATTAGTACCGACCGAAATCTCGCATTGCACCTACAGTTGGTCCTTCAAAGGTATACGGAGTGGATGTACTATCAGAAATTGCAAAGCAGCTATGTGAATCAAAGTAGAAATGAACACGTTAGACAATTGTACAGACATTTAAAATGTTTCGATGATGTCCGTCTTTACAACACCAAAACTTTCAGACACTCCTTCGAAAAAAACTAGGCTTGATCCTTGACCCTGACGAGTGTGTGATGACCTCTATTCCACTCCCCGGGAGCTGTGACCGTCATCGTTGCTCCGGGGAACTTATTAGCTTCGGAGCTCAATCAATTCTGCCAAACAGGTTCCTGCCGCAAAGCAACCTCACCTCATCACAGACGCACTGACCTTCGGCCACTCGATCGACGTTAGCTCGGACATACGCGTGGTCAGACGGCCACAGCCGTGTATCCCCCACACGAACACACGACCTTTCGAGCAGTGCAACACAAACCCAGAAAGTAGCAGTTCCTACCCAGCTACGAGACACAAATAAAGGCAGCTGACGAAACAGTTTCTCTCTCTCTCTCTCTCTCACTCTCTCTCTCTCTCTCTCTCTCTCTCTCTCTCTCTCTCTATTGGACATGCGTTAACGCACTCAGTACGCGCCCTGGTCATGAATGAGGTCATTCCCCCCGGGACGGCGACTCGGGTTTCTGTACACACTAAGTCCCTCATTCTGGTGCCTTTCATCTTATCCTGCCAATCAGGAACTGACTTGGTGATTCTGGCGTTCAAGGTACGTGTACTACTGGAGCTGCTGCAAACGTAGTCATGTTTCCGCAACACCATGTACTTGACCCCTGAAGACCTGGATAAGCGCTTGCACAGCCGTGAACAGATGGATTGTTGTTCCTGGGTTAGCTGTGTATGTCGTCTTGTAACGGGCACAGTCAACCAGTATGTTGCTGGGAACTGCGGATGAAGTTCACGGGACGTGGCGTGTGGTGACACCTCAGTGAGCAAACAAATCGGCTAGGCATCTACAGGTTGTTTTACAATGTGCTCAGACGACCAGGAAAATGACCTTTTGGAGGCTTTCCTGGCGGTTATCGAGTCCGAAAGGCGGTTGACCACGTCGGGATTGGGCCAGCAAGTCTCAGATATTCCCGTAGCTCTTTCTTGTTCATTTTGCTCAAAAGTGCTGTGGTTGTGTTCAAGCGCTTGAGCAAAAACTAAGGCCAGGGACTCACGTCGACGGACGGTCGGAGTGTCTCTCAGTTTCAGTTCATTCCAGTTTGTCAGGTCAGAATAATGGGCAATGCCTTTGAAAACCTTATTTGCTCGTGAATCCGTTAGATACACCTGTACACGCAAGATGAAAATTGTCGCTTAAAATGGTACTTGCGTGACTTAAGTAGCATTGTTTAAAAAACCGACTTTCTGCGGCTCGACGGGTATTTAGTTCGGACTCAGACGAGCGAAGGAAAACGGGAGATTTCGCATCGCGCCAGCCGCCGCGCCAAACTCGCCCCCATTCGCGTGAACTCGGACAAGCGACTGGTGTATTCGCGAGGGGAGAAGGCGAATGAGGTCGATCTGATCTGGATCCAGCACTTACTTCCTCATCGCAAACAAACATATGCACTCTGAAACCACTATGGCGTGTTATACTAAACATTTCAAAGCTGCCTGAGAAGTTGACACCCTTTTCGGCTTGTGAGCTAGATAGAGCTTGGATGACAGATCGATCAGGCACACTTTGTGTTTGATGACTTTGTAGACAAACCGATGGTGACAGAAAAATGTGGATGTGGATGCCCACCTGTTGGTGCATGGATTTCTTTTTTAAAGCAAGCAAGGACAGCAGAATTTAATGGCACCAGAAGATTTCGAGACGGCTTATCAACTGCAGCCTGTCGTTGCATAACACAAATAACAAGTGAGAATGGTACAGGGGTTTGAATTTCTGGTGCCATTAAATTCTGCTGTCCTTGCTTGCTTTAAATTCATTCCGGGGAAATATTGCTTCAAGATTCCTTTTTTGCCATGGGAGAAAATGATTAGAACTATTTACAAAGACAAACTTGTGTAAATCTGCGGAAGCCGTATTGTACCATTAAACATGGCGTTCGACATATGAATTATGAGTACAGGTGCGTAGCGGCCAGAATAGCCAGAAAGAAGAAAACACGCAGGTAGGAGGTGTGCGTTCTGCAACCAAACTTAGTACTCAGATACCTCAATGCGCAAACGGCCTCAGGACTGGGTGCATCTCTCTGCAAGGCTGATGTGGCGCGAATGAATAAGTGCCCTCTAAGAGGCAGTCGGTGCCAGTTCGGTGAGCTGATTGGATGATTGTGAAGTTTGAGGGTGCCCGTGACTGGCTGTCCTCGAAGTTGTGCGTGTGCATGTTCCATCCATTCACGTGAGCAGGGGCGCGCAGTTCGCGACAGAGGCGTGGGGCTTGCATGTGCTTAAAGTGCTGCAGGATCAGAGGTGACCATCTCAGCACTCTTGTGTTTGTGTGTGTACGTTTCCAAACCTGGATCCTAAAGTCCATCTTGTCTACACCATGACAGTGCGACCGTCGCATCCGACGATGTTCACCGTGTGCTCTACAGCAAGGTGAAGCAGGCACGGTGACTTGCGTGTGAATTAGTTTATAGTTGGAGTAGACTTGTGCAGCATCTACCGCACTTTCTCCTCCTCCCCATCTGCACCCTGTGTCAAGACATATTCAAGAAGACCAGATGCGGGGAGGTCGCAGGTGGATGGCGCGGCCGAGTGCGCACCTTGACGCTCCACTCTACACCCCTGGTCCAAAACAAACACTTGACCTGGATTTTGACCAATTACAACAACAGCAACGGAAAGGACGTGGACGGCCGGTCAACCATGAACATGACCCCTATGCTCAGCTGGAGCGCAAGCGCATATACCACCAGAGAACCAGGTACCGGAGAGCTGCCAGTGCACACCCGGCTGAGTACACCACGCATATGTGATGAAGTGACGAGGTTAAAACCGGTCGTTGCCGCCCGCCAACCCCGTCGTTAACGGACAGTTAACCGTGTGTGTTGATTGCGGATTCCGCGCTTGAGGAGTTAAACTAAAACCAACGTCTGGCCAACGACTTAACCCTGCCTCACTTCCCCGTACAGTCAGACGTTTCAGAAATGTAACGTTTGCCAATGATTAAAGTGTTTTGTTAACCAGGCTTATAAAATGTTTTAGGTCTGGTCGATGAGGATGAAAATGTCGGTCATCCATCCGGGGCTCTTGTGGAAAAGCAAGACGGTTGCGCCCGCATCTCATTGTACCATCTTACCCAAACGGCGCCTATGTTATTATTTTACCCATACACCTCGAATTCTGGGAACTTTTGATTAAACCACTTTCACAATCTAGTTGTTTTCTCATTCTGATTTAATCTTCCTCGACTGCTGTCAGTTCCAGGTAAAATCGACGAAAACTCGGAGACCTGGGGATTCGACTCAAATTCGAAGGACGCGCTCTCACTATATTGCGTGTATCACACTTTAATTATCTATATTTGGAGCTCCTCGGAACCAATATTGGAGAATAGGGTCATCGATAATTGGTAACTCCTAACTTACAGTATGATACTGATCCCCAAGTGGGTTTTACCGGACTGGAGTCCATGTGAGATAGAAAAATAACGTCCATACCCGTTGTCGGTTTGGTCAGATGCGTTAAGAAGTCGGTCGAAGCACCCGTTATTTCGTTGTTAATTTGATTCACCATCCAAGATTCCCGCTATAAAAATAAAGATTCCTGAAGATTCAAGTCGGTACGTATACAATTATTCGTATTCTCAGTAAAACATCGACAAAAGCCTTATCGATTGGTCCTAAGTTTTGCTGTCCTCGCCAGAAACCCAACCAGCTAGAGTTATGAATACAATCCGAGAACTTATTGAATCAAACACATGACCTTCAGCCAGTCTCAACCGAGAGCGTACAACATCTTAAATCCACGTTTGTCAGTTGCTCTCATCAATATGTGAATAGTCGTCAGAAATATCGCGGCTTGCCGACTAAGTCACACATGGATAAGTTAAAGCAACCCCGACAGAACAAGGGCATTCTGATAATTAGGCCAGATAAGTGGAGTGGTGCTGTTTTGATGGACAGGGTAGACTATATTACAAAAATACAGTCAATTTTGTCGGATCAGGAAAAGGTCAGAAAGACAGATAAGGAGAAGGACCATAGAGATGAGACTGAAGCGCAATTGACTGACTGTTCGAAAAGACTTCAGATGGATGGTTGCATAAGCGAAGAGTGCCTCCGAACCGTCAGCACGCATATGCCTCCGTTATGTGGCTTGCCGAAGATCCACATAGATGGCACACCGGTCCGTCCAATCCTCGATATGAGGAACTCACCGTACTACGCAATAGCGAAATGGCTAGCGGAGAAACCTAAGCCTCTGCAGTATCAACGGTCGCCACATAGCTACCGAGACGCCTTTGAATTCATTAACGGCGTGAAAGACCTCGATCTGAACGAAGTGGTCATGTTTTCGTTAGATGTCTTATCCATTTTTACGAGCGTACCGGCCACAGAAACGGTCAACTACCTTTGTGATTTCATTGCTGGCAACCAACAGGATATTGGAATGCCGATGAATTCCACCTAGGAATTGTTATTGAGGTTTACCTTGAACTTGCAGTTCCTATTTGACAACAATCTACATAGACTGATGGATGGCGTAGCTATGGGCTCGCCTCTTGGCCCGCTTTTGGTGAATATATTAATGGCCAGGCTAGAAGCTTTCCAGCTACGTCCCCTGCCAGCACCAGCCCCGCCTAGCCCCGCCTGGCCCCCTCAATAATGGCGGGGCTAGAGGGGGCTAAGCGGGGCTGTGGAGGGGGCTGTGGCGGGGCATGCAACGCGATAGCCCCGCCTAGCCCCGCCAGCGAAAAAAATGCGCAGGGGACGCCACATCCCGCCCACTTTTGGCACCACTTTAAAATATAGTCCCCATTGTCAAATATACGAATTAATAACACACACAGATTGTAAACCGGTGGACAAATAAGAGTTTAAGCAATGAGGGACTTAAACAAAACCTCAATATATTGTGCTCATCCGCAGCTACATTCAGTGGGCGTTAACGGATGCTTTCTCCGTGGTTTATAAGCCAATTTTGATAATTAGCTCCTTTTAATTTCAAAGAAGGTACTATAAGTGGTGCTTTTGAAACATATCTTTCGATGCAAATACGCTTCAAAAGGCTTCAATGCAGAGGGGGCTCTGGCCCCGCCCAGCCCCCTCCAGCCCCGCCTATGGAGGAGCCATGTGCTGGCAGGGTCACTAGATCAACGGTCTGAAATACTATGGGCGGTGTGTGGATGATATATTCGCAATTGCACCGAAACAACGTGACTCTGCTAGGTCAAGGACGAGCCGCTGGTTTTAAATTTGAAGATAAGTGGAGGATATTATTTTAAGTGGTTTTTCTGTGAGACCTAACGATTTTAGCCCCTGTTTTGGTTGAATTTCCTTAAATACAGGTCTCTTCTCTCAGAACTGCCTGATGCCATCTCCTTTTGAGTTCTGCTAGTCTATGCCTGTTGTTCACTAATCGCACTCTGCAATTCTCATTTTGTGCATCCGATTTCTCTCTAACTGTTGTAATTTATTTTTACATCGTTAGCTCCTAGCTGAAATTCAGTCAACTTGTCTGCCAGAAGTTTTCTTAATCACAAATTGCCTCGAGACAAGATGAGACCAAAAGTCACTGGTCGACGTAAGCTCTCGGCCTCTGTAAGTAAGCATGGCCTAACTAAACGTAAGCCGGAAGCTTTACCTAAATCTAAGTCAGATGACATTACTAGTCAGTCGTCACCCGTTATAATTGGTCGGCAGCTTAATCTGTCTGCACTTGACCACTGCAATGACTTTATGCTAAAGTTTGGCACTTTGCTGACAATTCTTGGGAATTTATTCGACGGGGGGCAACTCCGATATTCCCTCTTAAGAATGTAGGCGTCTCGACTCTCTTGTTCACCTGATCGCCAGTGAATCTAGTGATAGACAGAAGCGTTCTTACAACTTCCTGCTAAAAAATGTTCCTCGATCTGCTCGGCCAATTGATGTTGCGACCAATTTCCTGTATTCATGTGGTTTCAATTACAAAATAGCCGATGCCAAACGCTTGTCCTACCGTAGCAAAAATCCACCCATCTTAGTCAAATTATTTTCATCAATCGTGGTTGACACAATCTTTGCCCATCGAGAGCGTGTCACTGCGTACCTAGAGACGGCAAAAATTTTCCTTTGTCATGATCTTACTCCTATGGACCGTAGAATCGGGTCTCTATTCTCACGTAAACCCACTGCTTCTCAGTCTAATGCTCCCCAACTCGGTCATAATACAAGTGGCCGTAAGGATTCAGCTTCTCCTACTCCTGCGACATCTGACTACCAAATTCCCCTTTCTCCTACATCTCCATCTCACTCAAGCAACTTGACGCATTTGCCTGCCCCTAAACTAGCTGCAGCAGCAGCAGCAGCAGCCACATTTGTCGTTACGTATCATCCGGATAGTCGCGCTAAGTCACATGAAAATCCGTCTACATCAGCTAGACCGATAACTTCTGTTATCCAACTGGGTGCTGTAAGGTCTACAGTTAAGTCACCCGTGGCTTGGCGTCAGAACGGTGAGACTCGAAAATTGAATCAGATTTCGACCCAAAAGATAAGTAGAATAGTTCCATTTAGGGGTACGACGCCTTCTCTTAGATCTAACATGCCTCTTCAGCCCAGCACGTCTATAAACCCCGCAGCTCCGATTATATCCCCAAATAATTCGCTGTCCTGCGTACCGGTTGCATATCAAAGCCGTATTATATATGCAGCAAATACTTCATACATGAATTGTCCTAAGTCATTTATGCCCCACCCTAGTTCGGGCTTCCCACCACTTAAGGCCAATTGCTCTCAGGTACGTCAACCTACCTCCTTTGACTTATAACCTAGACCTGGTTTCCCACACTTCTACTCTTATAGCGGCCTAACCTCACCCACTAGCCCCTATTTTCCTTCTAGGCTCCCTCATCCTCCCCTTCCTCCACTATTTAACTAACAACAAGTCTATCCATGTTCTAACTCCCCTAGCATTCCAATGTTTGAAAACTATATCCCCACATCCTTTAGGTCTCATACTCAGCCTTCTCCTGTTGACTCCCCGTACGTCAATAACTCGAGACTAACTGGTACTTATTCTCCAAGTGTCATTAATTCGCAGCTTACATATCCGCCTCTAAATTTTTTTAAAATACCGTCAATAATAGCATTGCCGTTCGAAACACATTAGATATTATATTATTGAATGCCAGGTCAGTTATAAACAAGATGGCCCAAATCAGAACCATTGCTCTGGAAATGACGCCTGATATTATATGTGTAACAGAATCTTGGACCCATTCTCTAATTCCTGACTCTGCCCTTCTCATAGATGACTTCGATTTTTACCGCCAAGACCGCACGACTAGGCGTGGGGGTGATTGTCTACTTTATCTTAAATTCTACCTAAAGCCCTCTCCCTATTACTTGGATGTCTCCTCATTCAAGGGAAACTTCTGCTTTGCGTCTGTAATTCTCTCGCCGCGAAAAAAGGGCAATTACTGGCATTATCTACAATACACCAAATTCTTTAGCCAGTGATGATTCTCAACTCTGTGAAATATTTAAATTAATTTCGGAAGCTGCTTTCGATGTTAAAATAATCACTGGGGATTTTAACCTTCCTGAAATAGACTGGGTTTCCAATGGCTGTCCACCCAGATTCCAGCTCTTTCAAGATATTGTCAATTTTGCTAGTTGTTTCCAACTGGTGCGCTCTCCAACAAGAGATAATCACATTTTAGATCTAATCTTTACCAATGACATTGCTCCTCTTTCTGTTGCTTTAAAAAAGGACCTCTTTTACAGTGACCACGTAGTAATTCATTGTTGCTTACCGCTTGCCTTTTCAAAAAAGACCAGCGTCCTTCGGACTTTCATGAACTACGACTGCGTAGATAGCGACTTAATAAATAACTATATGAGATCCTTGGATTGGTGTGGCATCCTCACTTGTAGCGATGCAACCATTCTTCGTGATGTCGTGTCCAATGTTTCCAGGGACATTCTAGAGTTTGTGCCGCGTAGATAACTCAAGCCTAATTCTTCAGATTCCCTTGTTCCTTATTTTCTTTATAACAGACTAAATGTTGAG